AAAGAGTGGCTTAGGATTCCTATTTTTGAGTGAGTGAGTGAGTGAGTGCTGGCACATCTGTCACATTATGTTGATGAATATGACAAGGTTTTTCCAGAATTTCCAAAAGAAGGCTTAGGATTCCTATTTTTGAGTGAGTGAGTGAGTGAGTGAGTGAGTGAGTGAGTCCGTCCGTCCTTACACTGCAATTCCAGCAATGTCCTGACAGAGGACACCAGTAATGGGATTCACACATTATACCCGTGTGAGAACAGAACCCGCATTTTGTCGTGATGAGCAAATGCTTTAACCATTAGACTACCCCACCTAGTCACCAACACGCAGTCCCCATTCAGTAAGCTGATGTAACAAGCATGGGATTATGGGGATCTACACTGTCCCCACATACCTAGCAGGGTCTTCGGATAACAGGCAACATATGCTAATAATGACACTTCATTACTGATAATGACTATAACATATTTATCTCAGGACACAATAATGTGCGCTAAATCAGACACACATGTAGAGCCTGTAAACATGGTATTTATCTCTAAACTTATCTATCTCATTCTGTTCTGTGGGGCGACATGAAATGGAGTTGCACTAATATCGCCACTTGTACACGGATGCTGGTTTGACTAATGTTGGTTTAATAATCTGCCCACTGAGATGTCATCTCTTTATGACAGATAACACATCCAGACACAGTATAATGAATAGGAGTGCAGCAGTCTATGGTTTATCCCCATAACACCAAGGGCCAGGCAAGGAAATAACAAGTATCATATTTTAATGCTGTTCAGAACAATATGGCTGGGGACTGAATCTGCCCACTGAGATGTCATGACACTATTTATGACAGATAACTCTGGACACAGTATACTTAGTAGGAATGTAGCAGTCCATGTTTTACCCCCATCACGCCAAGGACCAGGCAAAGAAACAACAAGTACCATCAGTCAGTGTTGTCCAGTATGATGTGGTTTGGGATTGAACCAATAACCTTTGGCTCTCCAAGCAGACAGACACTTGATTCATTCACATTCTATATCTCTAAGGATGGGGTAAGGCAGGGTGAGACTAAATCATGACCTATTTAACCAGCATAATTTGCTATTTGTATTTTCTGTTTTCATAACTACGGCTATGTTCAATGTTCAAGTTGCCTTAAGGGTTGTACATTTGTGAAAACTATCACAAGCATGTTCAACCGACTAGTACTTTACCAAGTTAGCATGCCTGTATTTCAACTAATCATCCCTGAACTATAAATATGTTCACAGCACGTTTAAACATTTAAAAAATATTTTACCATCAAGTAAAATGGAGCATTTGACGATTGTTTTTTTACTTGAAACCATTTTGCCACTTGTGCTGTGGAGAAAAAGTCTGCTGCAGACATTACAGTGCTCCCAAATCCATCAGCAAGGTGCCTTAATCGGATGGCATTTTCTTTGTCCGCCTTAACTGCTTAATGTCATCAGGAAATGCATGCACTGGCGTGACATGTGTGCATGCTGGGAAGCTTTGGTGTACATGCACTTGTTGTCGAGGTGATTGGGCTCATTTCTGTAACACTTGCAGTAATTTACCGCAAGGAGAACACCAGACCATGAAATCTTCAGATAGGTATGGCGGTTAAGGTTGAAAAACAAGTTATCTTGTACCAGACTTCAAGATACAATACTGGTTAAATAAAGGGAAATGAAGACACAAGCCTATTGTTCTTTGAGTCAGTTACACACAATTAAAAATACAGACATTTGCACTTTTTTACCATAAAGACCCTCTTGTCAGTCTACTTAACATACTTCCCCAGTACTGCAGTGACGAAGAATGCATATTGCAAGAGAAGCTATTAGTCATGCAACTAATAACATGTTAGTTTTCATAGATAGAAACTGGAAAAGACTACATCATGGTAGGTGGTACAGAAAAAGACTACAGCAAATCTGCTGTTGTTGGAAAAGACTTGAGCATGTTTGCAGGTAACGGAAAAGACTGGAGCAGGTTTACTGGTACTAGGATAGACTAGAACAAGTCCTGTGGTATGGGAAAAGCGTTGAGTATGTCTGTTGGTATGGGAATAGATGACGACAGGTCTGTAGTGTTTGTTTTAATAAAAAGTTGGGTATATTCATTTTTTAAGAATTTTCGTTACAGTAAATGTAAACTCTCAATCACATGGCCTCAGATGTTACAAAATAATATGTTTGCTTAATATGCTAGCTTTTGTGAAAAATATATTCTGCTGAAAAAGCATTGTTCAGTTTCTACTGAAATAGTGACTTAAATATTTTTCTATCCCAGACCCCCCTTGAATGTTAAATGGTCAGTGCCTCACAACAATCATACAAGGACAGCTTCCATCCTGGGAGGGGTGGTCGGGTAGCCTTGCAGTAAAAGCGATCAATTGTCCTGTCAAAGACCCAGGTTCAACTCCCCATATGGGTACAATACATGAAGCACATCTGGTGTCCCCTGCCGTGATATTGCTGGAATATTGCTGAAAGTGGCGTAAAACCAAACTCACTCACTCACTCCATCCTGTGAACCCTTCAGGACACCCACAACTGGGTGGGGGACGGGGACAACTCTGCCTTATAATATCCATGGGGGACATATGACCTGGGACCCTGGATATCGACATTTGCATCTGCTCTTCACAGTGGACAAGCCCATGAACCATCCTCAAATTTTCAAAGGAATAATTTTCCAACTCATTTTCCATCTGAACAATTTTCATGGCCTTGCTTCAGAAACTTCTGCTCCCTATCCCATCCATTCCTAATGACACGTACATGAATTAGGAACCTTTCATCTAACATATCACCCGTCATGTTATCACACCTAGCGACATTAATTGTGTCAAAGCGTAACGGAAATGAACTTCCCAAATCTTGTAACGGGAAATGTTTCCATATTACGACATGGTCAAGGAGGCAAGTTTTTCCAAAAGACATTTCATCACCTGTTACAAGACATTACATAGGCAAAGTTCAAAGTTAGTGTAATGATAGAAAAACAGTTTCAGTAGGAAACAGCTGAGAAATCAATTATACAACTTTAAATAATATTTTTAAACTTAATATGCAAACAAAATTAATTAGAACTTAATGAAGTATAATACAAGACTTTTAGAAGTCAAGGCTTTGCTGAGAAAAATATAACCCCAAAGTCTGCTCAAACAAACAAGGCGACACGAAGGAATGGTGGTGGTTGGTTTTCTTGGTGGGAAAAACATTAAAAATGTTCTCCCTGATTACTCTTGTTATTAACGAAGCATACTTCTTTATGGATAACAACTTCCTGTTTATTGCACAGAGCAACGTTTTGATGTGATTCTTACATCGTTATGAAGCTGAAAGAGGCTATTACCAGGTGATGAGAGGCATATATACACAGTATGTTGTGACAAGCAGCAGATTAACAGGCAATTGATAACAAGTGGCATATATTTAGATGAGGTCAGATGGAGACTAAGACTGACTGACTGAGTTTGGTTTTACACCGCTTTTAGCAATATTCCAGCAACATCACGCAGGGAACACCAGAAATGGGCTTCACATTGTACCCATGTGGGGATTCGAACCCGGGTTTTCGGTGACTAGTAGCGCTTTGAACAAGGGCTAAATTTGAGACTAAGAACAACAGAAATGGGCTTCACACATTGTAGCCATGTGGGGATTCGATGTTGTTTATTTAAAAATCAACAAGCTTGAACCACTAGGCTACCCCACTGCCCCGGAGACTAAGAACAACAGATAGCATAAGTATTGAAGCCAAAATACATTAACGATTACATTGTAAACAAGCTGATTAATGCTGATTAAATAGTTTATTCATAGAATCTATTACTTTATTTACTTGTTGACTTTTGTTTTCAATAACAAATATTACCTCCCCTTCTTTTAGAAAAAATGTCCCAAAGAACCATATATGTTTCTGCATCAGTCTGAACCAATCAAGTACAAATGTATTAAGTATAAAATGTACAATTTTGGAATTTTCTAAGACACTGAATCCACATCTGGATGTCCTTTACGAATTGATTCCAATAAGGTGATTCTATTTATGTCTTATTTTTATTATCAGTAATCGTTCACAAAGTCATATCTTCATTCATTAAATTTTATTTCTTAATGTCTTAACTGTGCCTAGTCTTGAGTAGATGCATGTACCATGAATTATATCATTATTTCACCGAAGCATCTAACCATATTATCTTCCATGAAAAAACCATCCAAATTCTTCTTCTTCCTCACAAATTTGAAAATGTAAAATTTGAACAAAGAGTTCACATATTACCTTCACTTCTATTTATTAGTGTTGGGAATTGGTGTAAATCTCATAATTGATGATTGGTTCATTACAACCGATCAATCATCGAAAATAATTGGTTAGCGTCATTTATCAAATTTTCCTGGTTATGTTTGTTAATGCACAAAAAATAAAGAAAAACATGTAGTTCTCTCGATTTTTTCCGCCAATTTCACAAAATGCATTTGCAAATTTCACATCTTTAAAGGATGACTAGTGTGTTAGGAACATACATTTCCTGGAGTTGTTAAGATAAACCTAATCATGACTTGGAACGAGCTTGTAGTGCTTATGCAATGTCGAGACAAAATCAACCTTTGAAAAATATTGTTATTGCAAACAAGTGGTCCAAAATTGTTTGTGTTCAATTATGAGAAAACATGATCGATTGCTTGGTCGTTTTGTCATTGCAACCAATCTTCGATTATTTCAGTTAATCGACCACCACTACTATTTATGATCCAGAAAGCAAGAACATTTCATAAGCTTTATCTGAGTGATGTTTATCCTGTTGTCACCTTCAACACAACCTTGCTCCATGGAGGTACTGAATGTTCATGGACATAATTCTATCCTCATAAAACACCAGTCTTTCACACGGACATCTTTTTTTATTATTCCTATAATCCAGAGAACATGATTAAAGCTATTAGTATTGCCTTAGAGTCTTGTGCAAGTCTAGGCTCAACATGACATACCTTAATTCCTCATATGAGCAGCAACCTGTAATCCAAGCTCTGTAACCCAAGCTCGGTTCTGGATGTGCCTGGTGTAAGGCTCAACTCTCGGCATGCAGCTAAAATGTAACAAGAGGTTGCTTTACAAATCCTATGAATAATCTAAATTTGACAGATTCTTGTGTGAATTTCAATCAACCAAAATGTCAAGTCATCTTACATGGCATTTTAATTCGGTTACTTGATGTTTGATGTTGATTTTCTTTTCTGTGGGAAAAAAGTCACATGTTCAGATTGCTGCCACTCAACCGGTCCAGTAAGATGGCAGAGTTGAACAGGTTGTGACAGGCTGGAAAGTTGATTAAGTCATGAAAAAACCCTTCTATAAAACTGAACTGAGGTGAACTAATTATGGTGCATTACATAAATATTTACTAGTTTCTAGTGGCCATTAATAACCCTAAAACATAAGGGGCCAAGAATGGTTCAATGGCTTAACAAAAGTTAACACTGATCAGTGTGCGAAATAGTTTCCAAATTTTTCAAGCCAGATGGGCTAGCTATGCCTGAAAGTTACTAAACCCACAAAATTATTCACTGGCCCGAAATTTGAATGTAGACACGGGTTTCATCATTCAGTTGCTAATATGATGAACATTTTTATCAGGCCATAATCTTGCCTGATTTAAAAGTGTATTATAACTTAACAAGTCGGAAAGAGTGATATATTTGTATTTACAAATGATCCCATGAAAATTCACTAGCCAGTCAGGCCAGTGACTGTGGAGATTTACTGGTCCGACTGGATTTTTACTAGCCACGGGCTAGCGGGCCAGTGGCTATTTTGAACACTGACACTGTGTTCCTGTGCCTGGTGGTCTTCAGTTTGAATCCTGGATTCACCGTGAATCTGCTTGTTTGGACTATATGACCACAATACTTATATTCACTGGTCTCAGGAAATCCCTATGGATGCATCACTTCATTGTTTTTTTTGTTTTTATTTAACCACAGATCACTGACGGCCAAGCCCAGTTTAGTGTGCTTGTTTGTTGTTTAATGCTGCACTCAGCAATAGTCCAGCTATAATTAATTCTATAATAATGTTCCAGTCTGTAATTAATTGAGTCTGGACCAGACAATTCAGTGATCTACATCGTGAGCATGATCTACGCAAATGGGATATGATGTCAACCAAGTCGGCAAGCCTGACCGGTCGCTTCCACAAGCACGGGTCGTCGCTAAGACCAATTCCTACAGTGCCATGAAGTATATGTCTACCATGTAGCTCTGTTCAAACACCATTACTGTGGGGGACACCTAGTCTGTCGTACAGACCCTGAAGCAAATTTATCCAAGAAAGCCCACGCAAGTCTAGAAAATGTGGCAAGTCTAGATTTCCTCAGCTTCTGGAAATGAAGAAAGTCTCAGGGCTCCTTTTCATTATTATTTTTTTTTTTTACTATGAACTTTTTTCAGTAAAATATGTTCATTTCAGAGACTAGTTGTTAGTCTAAGGGACACCATAAATCGGTTTCACACTGTTGGAAATCGATCCCACGAAACCGAATCCATGGAATTCATCGAGACTGCGCCTGAGCCCCTTTGCCTTGAGGAGCAAACGCTGAACCCCTGGGCCATTCCGAAGCCTTCTTCGATGTTCTCTTACAGGCAATACAGCTGATTTCACATGTCAAACAAACCACAAATCAGTGCATGACACAGATCGTTTTAAGAATATGATGACTAAACCATCGCGGTTAAAATCCTCCGTTTTATCACACGGTTAATTATTTCTGCATGACACGACACACTCGCATGCGCCCAGTTCATACATAAGATCACTGTGCTTCACACAAATGGTACTTTCTTCATAATTTAAACAAATATGATCAGAATGATACCTTACTTTCCATGTTGGGTTGGTCCATGAATGTTGGGTTGGTCCATGGATCGCAACAGTTCATCAAGATTTCCAATGCGGCCAAAACCGTGATTTCGAGGCAGTCTGCACGTGCTCAAACACAGGCTCATTGTGGTATTTTTCTACAGAGGTAAAATATTGCCCATGAACCTTAAGCCGACAAGGTAAATTTCGCTCGCAATGCATGTAAAGATTTTATATGGAACACCATGGAGTGAGCAAGTATAATTTTACGACGCTTTAGCAATACTGCTGGAGACACCAGAAATGGGTTTCACGTATTGTACCCATATGGGGAATCAAACCCGAGCGAGCGAACGCTTTCACCACTTGGCTACCCCACCGCCCCGTGTGCCATTACAGAGGAAACGTGCTTATTCTGACTCAGAGGATAAAATCTGAAGATGTTTCACTTGAAACAGTGTTTCAGTAAGACATACGCTTTGTCTCAAAATATATATATAATTTTCAATAAAAAAAATATATCTTATATCAATTAAAACAGATCTCCAGTGAGATGGTAGGAAACTCTGTACCTGCTTCATTTAAAGCTATTGCATTACAGTAAGGGCTGGGTTGATGAGGAAATAGAGCAGGAAATCCCGAAGTGATGTGGGTCTCAAATGTCTACCACTTTGTTGAAACTCACGAGCAACGGTGTGGTGGTGTACCGGGATTCGAACCCACAGTGATGGGCAACTCCGTGCTTTTGACGACTGGACCAAACGTTATCTGAAGAGGTGTGTGTGCAAACATTACAACACGTGTTGAAGTATTCATTTTAAAGGTTTTGCTCGCACGTGTTTCCCTCCCAAGTGATGTTCGGTGTTTTCAATTTCAGTATATCTCGAAGTCATCATGACATTGTAACTTCAGAAGTTAGCAAAACAAAGTTATGTTTTCGTGCAGCTATTTCCGGACGCAGGAATGAATGATGACACTACTCCCGTTGAGACAAGGTGTGTGCATTTTACGATCAGTTTCCTGTCTTGTGTATACGTTGTACATAGTGTTCTGTGGGTAGCTGGGGCGATGGGGGGTAGCCTTGTGTTTAAACCGTTCGCCCGTCAAGCCAAACAACCCGACGATTCCCTGATTAGGTACTTAGCCCTATTCTGGCGCCAAAGTGATATTGCTGGAATAAAACCGAATTCACTCACTCACTCGCTCGCTGATCATCACTCCACCAAAGAGCATCTGAATCACTTCTTCCCCACTACCCCCGCAACGATCGCAGGTGCGTGGGCGTCGCTACGTACGTTACGTAATCTTGAACGCGACATTGATCCTCATTTTATCTCAAAGTGAGTGAGTTTAGTTTTACGCCGCACTCAGCAATATTCCAGCTATATGGCGGTGGTCTGTAAATAATCGAGTCTGGAACAGACAATCCAGTGATCAACATCATGACCATCGATCTGCGCAATTGGGAACCGAGACATGTGTCAACCAAGTCAGCGAGCCTGACCACCCGATCCCGTTAGTGGCCTCTTACGACAAGCATGGGTTACTGAAGGTTCATTTTAACCCGCCTCTTAGACAGGCATGGGTTACTGAAGGTTCATTCTAGGTTCACGATTCTAACTAACGGACCTTCACGGGTAGACAAGCATGGGTTACTGAAGGTTCATTCTAACCCGGACCTTCACGGGTAGACAAGCATGGGTTACTGAAGGTTCATTCTAACCCGGACCTTCACGGGTAGACAAGCATGGGTTACTGAAGGTTCATTTTAACCCGGACCTTCACGGGTAGACAAGCATGGGTTACTGAAGGTTCATTCTAACCCGGACCTTCACGGGTCACAGATGTAAAGACCACAAATACAAGCTGTACCTGTAAGTTTGTTATCAGAGCCTCAACAGGATCTGGTGGTCTGGTTCAATCGTACATGTCATCGTGCCATGACCGATCATGCTGTGATGCCCTGATTTGTCCGGAAGCCTATTAGCGCCATATAATTACTTTTCTTTTTTGAAAGTTGAAACCGCCAATTTGAAAATTCAAGATACTAATTTGTAATTGTAAGAAACTTTGTAGAAAATCCGTGATATCGTGTTAAAGTTGTAAGATATTGCATCATCTTGAATTTAAAAAAAGAGAGCTTGAAATTTCCAAGGTAAAAATATAATAGGTCCCAGGTGGGCTTCCGTACGTTGATTTTTAATGCCCAAACTTAATTATTTACCATTAGCTGATGTATGGCTGTGATATTGCGGACTGCTGAAATATCATTCCCAGTCTTCGAATGCCCAGTCGGATCAGTAGTTCACTTTGGAACACTTCCACACCAATGGTCAAGAATTATTTGTGTCAACGCTGTCCTATATATATATGATTGATTGCTTGTTGTTTAACGCCACTGTCAGACAGACTCCAGATATAAGATCCCCACATGGGTACAATGTGTGTAGCCCATTTCTGGTGTCCCCCGTCGTGTTATTGCTGGAATGTTGCTAAAAGCGGCGTAAAACTAAACTCACTCACTCACCTGTTACAACCCTCAACCCTGAATAGTTGAAGGTGAGCCATCATTTCATCATGTTTGCGGAAGGTGGATAGCTCGTCATGAGGAAATCTCGGGTGCTGTTCACCAAAAGGGTGCAACGTTACCCCACAAGCATCGTACAAACACGTTTCTCTGACCTGTAGTCAGTAGTAGTAGTAGTAGTAGTAGTTATTTGCCGGGGTATTACCACTTACTAATAATGTTTGACTGTTTTAGTTGTAATCTTTAAATATTCACTAAGTTGAATATGGTGAGTGAGTGAGTGAGTGAGTAAGGTTTAAAGATACGTTTAGCAATAATCCGCCAACACCAGAAATGGACTTCACACATTCTACCCATGTGGGGAATGGAACCTGGGTCTTTGGTGTGACAAGCAAACACTTTAACCACGATGCTACCCGTTTGTGTGTTTGTTGTTTAACGCTGCACTCAGCAATATTCCAGCTATATGGCGGCGGTCTGTGAATAATCGAGTCTGGTCCAGAAAATCCAGTGATCAACAGCATGAGTACTTGGGATACGATGGCATGTGACAACCAAGTCAACAAATCTGACCACCCGATCCCGCTAGTCGCTTCTTACCGCAAGCATGCACATGGGTTGTTGAAGACAAATAGCCTGGATCTTCACAGGTCATTAGGCTACCCCACCGCCTCCATTTACAGATGGAATATGTAACTTCAGTTATGACTGCACAGCCTTATATTTCGTAACGAAGGGACAGGTATATATTTTGTCAGTCCACGTGAAAGATGCACTGGATAATTGAGACAGTTATTTCCAACGCTTGCTCTGAAATAGTTATATGAGTCCATTGGTTTAACTAAGCGGAGTCTCAGACAGCAAATATATTTCACGTCAGGCTAAATAACAACGACATATGGGCTTGTCTCTTCACACAGAAACCTCACACGACCAGCGTTCCTACAACAGACCCCCTTCCCCCGACCACCAGTCAACCTTCAAGGTTAATTGTACCCGGGTAACATATGGTCCGTCTGGGACAATGGCGCACGTGTGAAGGATCCGAGTCGCGTGTCCGCCCAAGCAAGGTCGGGCTTAGACTAAGGCTTAGTCTCTGAAAATTTATAATTTTGATAGTAACAAACAAGCCCATTTATATTGAAAAGGAGCCCTAGGGAGATCAGAGATTCAGAGACTAAGAACATCTGCATTGGGGCTACACGTGCTGGGGTCATTACCAATTAGAAGCCACATCATACAACCATCAGATAACGCTATAAGTGAAAGGCATATTTATTGGCCCTCCTGTTAAGCCCTGTCCTATCTCCATGCTGTCATCACCTCATGTGGGCCGGTCAAGTGCCCCTACTGCCTAACATTTTACTGTTGGGAAACTTGCAGCCCACAATGTCACTTGGACACTAGATGACCAAAGTGCAAGTTCTGTGTGGAACACCAACAAAATTATACAGTTTCCATTTGTATATATGCGAAGAGGATATAGATAACCACCTTTTTTTAAACAAACTGTTCACTGGGGCCAGCGTCTGTCTTACGTTTTAAGATGTTCTGGGTATTTCTAGATACTACATCATCCTCACTAGATTTCACCTTGCATGCATCAATCACATCACGAAGGTAAACAGATTTAATTCCGAGATGCTGTGCCTTTTGAATTTGGTTCTTCATGAGAAGGCGACTAACGGGGTCGGGTGGTCAGGCTTGCTGACTAGGTTGACACATGTCATCGTATCCCAATTTAGATGCTCATGCTGTTGACCACTGGATTGTCTGGTCCAGACTCCACTTATTTACAGACCGCCGCCATATGTGGAATATTACTGAATGCGGTGTAAACCCAAACTCACTCACTCACTCACTCTTCATGCTAGGTCCCTCCCATATGTTTTACTGTTGAGCAATTAGATAAAAAGAGATACTCAAAACACACCAAAGTTTCAAACAATAATCCTATATCAGGAATAAGAAAAATAACCCTTGTTTTAATTACAATTAAATCCTTAACTGCATTAACAATTGGGCTGCTATGTATGGACCCAAGTCAGACAATGAAACAATTCTTTTTACAAGATAACATTCAGGAGGAACCTTTCCCCAAGATTTTGCTTGATTTGTCTCTTAAGACTAGAAACTGTACACAAGGCCTCCACTATAGCTTCATGTCACCCAATGTGCTTGTTAATTAAGAGTTGACAGATGGAAATGTGAGGCAAGATTGGTAAGGATGTTGGTCCGGCCAGCCATGGTAGTTAGATATGTTTACTTTGTAATCCGACCCCCAAAGTGAGTTAGTTTTCTTGCAGATGTTAACAGACCCTGAACCTGAGGAAATCTAGACTTGCTTTATTTAGGGCTTTAGCACTGCAGCGATGGCTTGGCAGTAGGGAAATTAATGTGGTTCAGGGACTGTGAGACAGACTAGGTCGGGCTCAGTGTATCGGAATGTAGTTCCGATAGCGTAGCGATCGTGATCACACGAATAGCTGACTACAAATTATCGTTAATCCCATTAAAAGTCAATAAACAAGTAATTACAGTGTCAGGAAGCATGCTTGGGCATCTGGTGGGTTTGTTTTGCAATGCCGTCTTGACATGGTGTGTCGGTC